TAATAATGGGTTAAATCTGGACCATTCAGATCAAAATTTAGATGGTCCAGATTTCATCACAGTAACGAACACCCAAATTGAGTCCAGTATTAGAGAAGTTTTTAGATGGAATATTACTGTTTGGGCCTTTTGCCCTGTTGATTATTAAAAAAATAAAATAAAATAAATTCTTAAAAGCTAAAGTATTAGGTTTAAATTTTAAAAATAACAATAATTGACACAAATAATATTCCTTATGTTCAAAAATGTATTTTTTTAAGGGGTTGTATGTTTAAAAATATAAAGCATTTTTAATATTTGAAAGTGTAATCATTGCCTTTTTTTTCTTCAAAAATGTCCCTAACAAATAAATCAATTTATATTATTTTAAAGTAAAATATCTTATTAAATAGGGATAAATATGGAAAGAAGGTGTTAGTTTGAAAACAAGTAACTATTTTGTAGGGAGAGATTCGATTAAAAATATCTTATATTTTTGAATGTGGTAGTATTGATTTGTCAATTTTGTTAGCATTTAAAATTACAATGTTAGCATCTTCTACTAATGAAACTAACTATGTTTGAGTTAAATAAATGAACAAAATATTTTATAAAATTAAGAAATCAAAACTCAAATATTGTATATAGCTAGATGATCAAATGCACACTTTTACCAAATTTAAACAAACATCCTATAATTCTTCAAAGGTGATTTTTTTTTTTCAAAATAAATTAGAAGTGATTTTTCATCATCATCTTGCCTTGGCTTGGGCTTTTTATTTCGAGAAGGGAGGAAATATGTGTGTACAAGAAAAGGGTAATGATAATTAGGGGAAATAAGGTACTTCTACATGGAATCTTGGTAGCTTTGTCTTGTGCATATTGGAAAGAATAGGAGCATTCTTGAGAATTGATAATGATAATGTATAAAATACAGGAAGACATATCAGCATGCTTAAGGCTTACATAAAGTTTTGAAATATAGGTTAGTCTAGAGCTGCACAAATGACTGATTTGGCAGGACTTCAGCCTAACTCGAAATCTAATACTTTTTATGAAAATAATTGAGTTAAACAACCTGTGGTCTAGTCTAGTCCTAGTATAATCCAAAGCCAAACAAGATCAGACTGGTCTTGTAGGACTAAGAGACTGATTCTAGTCTTGTCCAATATCTCACTTTATTTTTTTTCTTTTTCAAAGGTAGCAATTCATTTCAACATAATAAACTTAATTAACATAATAAAATTATTTATAATCACATAAAATTTATTATAATAACAACAATTATAAATCTACAACAATCCCCAACAACAACAAAAAGTATTTTAATTACAATATAAATGATTCAAATTAAGGTTGGTCAATGTCCATTACAATATGTCTAAAGTCCATTACATCAAGTTAACAACAAATTTCATTGATAAAAGGAGAATATTAAGGTTGGTCAATGTTAGAATTTTGCTCGATATTTATGACTTCACAAGTATAAAATACAAAGACTTGCTAATTATTATTATAAGTTAACTTATTGTAATAATAATTGATACATTAATTATAGTTATATTAAATAAATTTATAAGACCAGACCAAGTGGTCCAAATGCTTGGTTTCTTGTCCAGTCTAACTTAAAAAAAAAGTCTGATCTTTTTGGTCCTTTTAGTCTTGAAAGACTAGTTTTTATTCGGATTAGGTTGTCTCATGTTAGACTAGACCGGACAGGATCAAATAACTTTTGCATAGCCCTAGGTTAGATTATATAGGTTGGCTCAAATAACTTGTCATAAAAGTCATTGGTATATAAAAAATAATTGGCTCGAATGAAACATTAAAAAATGGAGGGGTTTTTGGTATCATAACCCTACAAAATAAACGAATCTTAAATGAATCATAATAGAAAGGACCAATCTCATACATTTATAATGTGAATTTTTTTAATTGTTTGAAACATTATATTAGAACTTATCATTCATGTGTCATTTTTTTAAAATTCATGTAAAAAAAATAAAATGGGATTGGTTGGTTGGGTTGATATTTTTCCAACTCATATGAAAATAGTTTAAACTCAAGCAAACTCATGTAAATCAATTCAAATGCTTAGGTTGGCCCGTATTTCTAACCATACGAAGGCAGCAAAAATCTTAGGTATGTTTAATGGAGGATAATGGAAGAGGAGGGGAAAAAAGGGTGACATTTAATTTAAATTTAAATAATTAATGTATAAATTTAAAAGTTATATTTTGAATATTCTGTATTTTCAAATCCCAGAACTTTGTATGTGAGATTTATCATCTGTTTGCAGATGATATCACTCCCATTACACTGAAAATAGCTCCTGAAAGTATAAGACTTAAAAACCTATAAGTTCTAAACTTCTAATTTCTCAAGTCTCAAGTTTGAATGAAAAGAAGATAAAAGGAATATTTTATGATAGTAAAAATTCTACAAATTGCTACCTCATTTCCACGTTTGATTGAAAAAAAAAATGATGAAAAATGATTAAAAAGTTGAACCAATTGATGGATTATAAAAAATTATGGTGATGTGAAGGGCTTTGAGATTCTCTCCTCTTCCCTTCCTATCATCTTCCTTTTCTAACCATAGGACTAACATTTGGACAATTTAAATTTGATCTCATATAAAATATTTTTTATTTGGTTTTTACTGCAATTTTAAACTATTTAATTAGATAAAATTTTAATACTTTGAATTTATTTATTTATTTATTTATTTATTTTATGACTCAACATTTTAGTAATAATTTTATAAGAGATTCAATCTAACCAATCTAAATATTGTTGCTTAAGAGGCTCAAAAACACTTGGGATATTATTTATAATTTATAAACAGGATAAATTATTTCTTAATATCAACACAAATATACAAGGGTCCTATAAACATCTCTAGTTGTAATTAAAATCTTAACTTCAAAATATTCTTATTATAACATTCTAAACATTAGTATTATTTTTAGGTTTTCAAACAACAAATATATTAAACTGAAACAGAGTATTAAATTCTTTTTTTTTTTTTTTGTATAGCTTGAATTTAGACGTTTTAATATTATTCAATACTCATTCATTTTCAGATTTAGAATCTTATTTTCCCCCACAATATTTATCTCCAGTGAAATTGATTGGACGACGCCATTTTGACTTTTCGACCAATCAACCATCCATCCAACAGGTATGGCTCTTCTAAGCATGGCCCTCAATTCCCACATAATCATGACTTGAATGCCCAAAAAGGGTCTTCACATTGGAACGTTCTGCATTCATTTTACAATACATTTTGGGCCCATTCCTCTTTGCTGCTCCCCCCCCCCCCCTCTCTCGATTGCTTAAGTATTAAATCTTAAATGATCGTATCAAATATTTTTAAAAGATAAAAAGTTAGTTAAATTAATAAAAATTTAACTAATAATTTATAAAATTATAAATTTATATTTTACTGTTAATATAAAAATTTTGTTAATAAGTTATTTATAAATATTCTTTAAATTTAGATGTATGCTTTAATTATAATGAATCCTTAAGATTCAATTCACTTAAATTTTTTTAATTAAAAAATATTTTTAATAAAGTTACTTTCAATTATGTGTGAAAATGGTCGAATTTAATCCAATAGTTATATCAAAATAAAATTAAGCTTAATTGATGCTGACTCTTTTTAAATATTTTTTTTTTAAATTTAAATTATTAACATCACTTAAGGAAAGCCCGAGTTTCTTCTACTGCCTCATTTTTAAAATATAAATCTTTTATTGCTTCAACACATATAAAGGAAAGCAATCAATACATTAAAATATTGATCACATTATCATCAAACTTGCTATTAATTTAACTCATAAAACATTTTTACATCACTCATATAAACAAGAGTATAGTAGAAAAAAATAGTTATAAATGTTGCTTTGATTTTTAAAAAGAGATATAAAATAAAGCAAAATTTTTCTTTTTTTTTAAACTTAAATTATTAGTTGTAGTTGTTGTTGTTGATAATGTTATTTGAATTGAATTCCTTGTCCATTATTAAGATGAAGATGAAAGATTGAAAACTTCATTAAACTTGCCGCTCAAATGGAAATTGAGAAGTAACATCAAACCAATTTGAAAATATTGATTATGAGGTAAGAAAAGAAAATAGATAAAAACTGGGGAGATGACTGGTGGGTGGGTGTGTGTGTGTGTGTAAAATTGAGTTTGAGAGATGTTTGGTTTAATTGTTTAAAAAAATTGAAATGATTTATCTTAAAATTTGGAGGTGAAGTCTTAAAATGTATAATGATGCAATCATATTTGTGATAATATCCCAAAATTTTCAGAATATCAAGTGAATATATATATATATATATATATTTATATTATAAGACCTAAAGAGAGAACCTCATTCCTTCCTCATTCCATGGTCATTTTCTCAACTTTTTCCATTCCACTATTATTATGGTATTTGTTATATACAATTTCAAAAAAAATGATAATTACTTTAGATACAATATTATATTTTTACGAAAAATTAATAAAATATTTTTTTAAGTTGGGCATAAATGTAATTTTAAAATATTAATTTCAAAGACGATATCATAATGTAATGTTCAATGTGAAAAAAATGTGTTAAACTAAATGAATAACAAAAAAAAATACATAGAAAAATGGTGTATAAAATTGAAAAAATTACATTTAAAGCCTTTTTAAGAAAATCATTTGTAAATAATGACTAATATAAAATTATTTCTTGTTATAATAGTAATAGTACTATAAACTTATTTTTTAAAATAATAACTTGTTATTGACTTTTATAAGTAAATATTTTTTTTTTTGGAGAGATCCGCCATTATTCCTCAAAATTTGTTATATGTTTCTGGAATTAATAAAAAAAAAAGAGCGAAAAAGAAAAAGAAAAAGAAAAATGGAGTCCCATCGCTATCATGCGCTAATGGTTACTTTCCCAATCCTCCTTTTAAACAATTATTTATTTGATTTTTAAAAATTTTTTAATTCTAACCAGACGAAAAAAAAAAAAAACCGTCATTTTCTTTTTAAGTTTAAATTCGTCTTCAATTCCTCGCCGCGTTATTCCTCCACCTGGCTATCGGAGATGCGATAGCTACCGGCTCTGCGCGCCACCGTGGTTGCCGAAGGCCTCCTTTTTTGATTCTCCAACACCACCAGGTACTGCAAGTTTTATTTTCTTTTGATCTGTATTTTCCATTTGTCTTCCCGGGAAAGTGATGGAAACCGACGCTTTGAATCTTGCTTTACTGAGTTCTTTACTTGTGGGTGTAAGTGTAAAAAGGTAGAAACCTCATTGTCAAATAATTGGTCGAAATTGTTCTTAGGTGTACTAACTGAATATTCAGGGTTCCATGTTTGTGCTCTTGATTGTCTTTCTCCTGCATTTGTGATGAACAGCTATACTCCAGTGGCATTATCTTTTCTTTGTTCTTCTTATTATTCTTTAGATCAACAGTCTTCCGATTTATTTCAGCAAGTGGAATTGGAAATTTCGAGAATTGTATGCTACCATTTGTTGGGTGGGGTTGCCTTGACGTGTAGAGATCTTCTTCTTTTGCTATTTACTTAACTCTTTACTCAGGCCCAAGAAAGAAAGGAAAAAAAAAAAAAAGAAAGAAACCTGTCCCTTGTTTTTATTTGATATCTTCGCAACTCTTTGCTTTCATGTTTAAGTTTTCAGAAATTTTTTAATTTTTTGTAGTGTTGCTCAACTTTTTGTTTGATCTTATTTTGTTTTTTGAAGTTTCCTCATGCATATCCATTGGATTGTTCAGAAAACTACTGTGATAGTTATGAAAGTGGCTTGGAGTGGAGTATTGATAGAGCTAACATTTTTTCTAAAACTTGTTCTTTATAACCTTAATTTTGTGAAAGCAAAGATAATTTGAGCAATTTTGATGTCATTTCTGAGTGAAAATAATTTCTTTTTGATCTATTTCCAGCTATCCAACCTCCTATGCCACGGAATTTTGAAATGATTCCGGAAAATCAGGAATCCGGTAGCGCCGTCAAATCCTTTGTGCTTATTCTTGTCTTATTAATTGTGGCTTTTAAGTCTGTAACTTCCTTTTAATGCCCTTTTGCTATATTAGGCGTAGCTTTCAAATGTCCCATTTTTCTAAACTGAGAATATTCACTATTTCTTTGTAATTGTGAGTGAGTAGAATAAAAAATATGATGAAAATCTATGAAATTATACAACAACAACAATAAGCCTTATCTCACTAAAGTCAGTTATATGGATTGCACGACGCCATTGTGACTTATTATTTACCATGCTTTTAGGATTGTTGTTAATTAAGAGGTCTTGGTCAACAACTTCTATAAGTAGAATAAAATCTATAAAATGATAAGAAACAAAAATATTTTGGCTCTGCTGAAAGTGATGCTAATCTCACTTAACTTTGGACGGAAATTCCGGTTCTTCTGTGGGCAGGCCGTTACATAAATAAATCATTTTCTGGTGTGCCAATGAGCAGAACTGATGCTATTGGCAGTAGAAGGAGGAGGATTCTTCTCTGCTTCAGCTTCAGGTTATAGTAAGGGCCTAACCCTTCTCCTCTTGGGTCAGAGGAGTGAGGACAAACCCATGAGAGTTTCACCGTTGAACCAGTACCAGTTGGTAGACAAAGAAACTGACCCTGAGCTCCAGCTGGCTTCTACAAAGAATCGTCTTCCCCAGAGGTGCGCCTCATTTGTTTGCTTTGGTCGCACTTCTGGAGGCGTTGACACTAAATCTCCTCTTAAAGTTGGTCCTGCTCAGCAGCATGATGTTTCACATGGGCTGCCAATTTCTGACAAGAGAGAGGATAAGGTTCCTGCTGCTCATCTTGATGATGACACTAATACATCAAAGATTGCTCTTAAAAGTAGCCTGAAGAGGCCACTAAATAATAAACCAGTTCCTGCTGAAGTGGCTAATGAGCAGGACGCACCAGATGGTGGGAAGGAAAGTGACCCTCCTTGTCCAGTGGAGAGGAGGGTGCAGTGGACAGATGCTTGTGGGAGCGAGCTGGTTGAGATTCGAGAATTTGAACCCAGGTATTTTAATTTCTAGATAGTCTTTTGTTAAAGGAAATTTATCACAGTTATTTCACAGTGCAAGTGAACATTTTTTCTTCTATATATTTTTCTTAATTTGCTTTCCTTTTGCATTGTTTTTGTTTCCTGATTAGAACCTGTTTTTTTTTTTTTTTTACTTACATCCAATGAATCGCAGAAATCTATGGCGTTTCGCATTTCTTTCTTTCTGTCTTTATTGTTTCTGTTTTAAAAGAAATCTGGCTTAAATGTGCATAATTTATTATCATTTAATGACGTCATAAGCTTGTAGCACTTTGACGATAAGGCTTAGTTGAGTTAGACAGATTTGCATTTATGTTAGATGAAATTTCATTTGTGCATAGAACAAGTGCATGTATGGCTTCTCTTCTGTAGCGCTTCTTTCCACCTTGGAAATGTACATAAATAAAATTGTTGTGAGCCTTGAATTCAAGTTCACTGAGAAGAGTGAGTGGATGAAGAAAGGCTCCAATGATATTTCAAGTATGTAAATATCCCATAAATTTAAAACTCAAATGTTCTTTAAGATTTTCACATAGATTCAAAGCTATCCCATAAATTTAAAACTCAAATGTTCTTTAAGATTTTCACATAGATTCAAAGCTGTAAGAGTTTTACATCTTCTCACCATATATGCTAATAAGTCTAATTGGTCCTACTCTTGATTCCTGATGCTAATTAATTGTTTGGCAGAGCCTAATCAGCTTCTCATTCTTCTTATTACTGCTCATGCTGTACATGGGAATAGTGTGACTGTAGTCAAGACTGAAATTTACCTATTCTTTGACTGGGTAATTGGTAATTATTGTCTCATGATTAGTTAGGAATTATGAGATTCCAAGCCCATGTCTTGTACTCTCACCAATTGTAACACATTGATTGATTGACACCCAATTGAGGTGGAGAATCCTCCTCCAAAAGCTAGGATTTGGATTCTGTGAGTGGCTAGAGTCCACTCACTTAATGAGTTTCTTACATGGTACGATAATAATTGTTTGATTTAATAAAATAGCTGTAAGGGATTTTATTATATAATACTTAAAAAGAACCAAATCTCAAATTTTTGGAGGAGACGATATACATGTGAAGAGTGCTTTGATTGTGAAGATTATTTTGAATTTTTGGAGGAAAATGTATCATGATAATTTTCAAATATTGATGAAATTCAATTACTATAATTGAGATACTTATCGAGTGAGTGGACTTAAGCCACTCACTGAATCCAAATCTCAAAAACTAAGGTCCCATTGGTTTACTAGATTTGTTACTCAGGAAAAGGAAAGGAAGTGGAAAATGCATTTTACTTTGTTTGGTTTGCATCATGTTGATTTCCCAAGAAGCCAATTTCCATCAAAATCATGGAACCCACCATCACCCTCTAGAAAATATGGATTTTCCTAGGAAGCCAGTTTTTTATGACCATGATACCCCTTGGCTTTTTCTAAATTTCTGATGCCCATCCCGATCTTCCTTTGGTCCTTCCTCCATCGCTAGCAAATTTGAATTTCAAAGATTATTCTCTCCTTATAGATCTCCTTCCTCCTTCGAGTTCGAAGATCTCCAACCAATGGCATTTAAAGCTCTCAACCCAAAGATCACTCTCTCCCTCCAAATCTCTCCTTCTTCCTTACCTTGCAAGTTCAAAGATTATATTCTCCCTCCAAATCTCTCCCTCCTCAAGGTTCAAAGGTCTCCCACCAATGACGTTTGAAGCTCTTGCCCTCCTCGCTAGTCATTAGTTGCTCAAGCATCGCACCAGATCTGTTAAAGCAGCTGTTTAGGAAAGGACTGCTCATTTAAGCACCGCACCAGAAAAAAGAAAAGAAAGAAAGGAGAGATGTAGAAGGACCACTATCCTCTGCCATGCTCATTGAAGATGATGACATGATGCTTATAGATCTGTTGTTCGAAGGTTTGCTTTTCTTTTTTTAATGGAATTTATATATTTTATTCTGGAAAATTTGGTCCTTTTCTCCTTAAATCTTCCATTCCATTGAATATTTCCAACATACCAATCAAAAATCATATCAAGATTCCACATAAATTTCCATTCATACCAAACGTACTTTTAAAATCAATTTTCATTCTATTTCCTATACCCATTCCAATTCTATTTCCTTCGAAATATTTGTAGTGATCCAAAAGGGACCTAACTTGACACTTTGATAGTTATACTTTTCTACACTTCACTTGGCTTCCTTGCCTGTTGGAATCCTTCATAGGTTGGCCTTTTGGAAATATTGATCACTAGCTTTGATACCAATTTGTAGACAAGACACCCAAGTGAGGGAAATCCTCCCCCCAAAACTAGCTATTGAGATGTGAGATCAATCCACTTTCCTATTAAACATCTCATGCTACACAATGTAGGATTTAGGCGCTCCATAGTACCTATTGATGAATATCGGGAATTTCTGATTGGGTGAAAGAAGAAACGTTAATAGGAGAGAACACTTTGTTAAACAATAGTTTGGTAAGTCCTTAGATGCATGGTAAAATTAGTATATGGCCAAAGGAGGCTTTTTTTTTTTTTTTGTGGTGAAAATTGATTCCTTGCTCTCCCTGTAGCCCTCCTTTTGTTTATTTTCCTTAGAAAGTCATTTGCCTCTTCTCTCCTTCATTAGATTAGTGCTTTTGTTTTTCCTTTTGTCCATTATCATAGACTTATAATCTGCATAGAAGAAGATTCAAATTTTTCTCATTGATTCAATCAATTACGTTTGACAATCGTGCTTGATTTAATAAAACTTAAATATACAAGTAAGGGTGGCTTTTATCTATTAAGGTTAACATGTATGTATACAAGTGAGTCTGGGTGTTGTAAAGTAAGGTATGTGGACTGTGGAGGCAGTGATAATATTGGATAAGGGTGGTTTGGTGCAGAGTACTATTTGATGTTAAAAATGTATGACATTAACCGGTTTCTTCTTTCCCTTTTGAATGTAGTGGCCTTGTGGGTGTAATTATAGTAATTAAGAATGTCTATCGGAAAGATGGTCTTCCTGTTATAGGATAGGAAACCTCACAAATTTCTTTGTGAAGCTTTTGTTTTCTTTTGGATCAACTTCGGGTTAAGGAATCTGGGAAGGAGGTATGCCATTTTAAATTCTTCCATTAATTGGAGAATTGCTTAATTATTCAATTGTAAATTTCTATAGTTGGAGCTCTTACGGGATCTAAAGTTTTCTTCCTTGCTTTACAATTGTATTTATGCAGAGTTAGAAGTCTTTCTTATGTTTTGATGTGCTTTCCTTTATTTCTGCTGCGTTATTTTTCATGGTAGTTATATGGGATGCCTTATCGTTGGCTGTTTTTACTTTTCCTTTTTTTCTTGCAGTGAAGCAGAAGGGTCAGATGATGAAATTGATATTGGGAATGACAGAACTTGTTCATGTGCAATAATGTAAATCGGCTTTTAAGGATGCTTTTGGACTCCATTAAGCATCAAAAGGAGAGAGAGTTTTCGAATCTAAACTAGGGGCGTAGATGGGAATTTACCTGAATGTTCTTTCGTGTCTATAATTTCTTGCTTTGTCTTTCAATTCTGTTCCTCTGCTTCACATTATTAATTTGTTGTATAAATTTTGTACTCTGTGACTTGTGCTCTTCAATTCATCATCATTCATGCAATTCTATGATGTTTCATTTTTATATGGATTTACAAAAGGGAGAATAACAAATGCGGATCTCATAAGAAAATTAATGTCAAAGTAAGATCTCTTCATAGTTAAAGTTTTCAAATTTAATATTCATTCTTTCACGTTTCAATACTAAAATCTGTAAAAAAAAAAAAAAAATCTTGAGGTCTTTACTTTTCATTCTCCCATGACAAAAGTTCTATTCCCTTATATATGACTATAACTATCTGGAATTCGGTGATATGAGGGTGGATTTGGGCGTTATCAAATCTATTGAGAGGTAGCCTTTTGCATACTTTTTCCTGCTCATAAAGGTTGAATATTTAACTTTAATGTTATGTTTGGATGTATATGGATTTGAATTTGAACAAAATTAATTATTTGGATAGTTAAAAATATATGGATCAAATTTAAATTTAAGTGTTCCATCAATCTCTTTGTAATTTGAAATTATTTTTAAACTCATTATTTTAAATCTTCACTCAAGCTTTTTTGTAATGTGACATAAATACATGAAGTTTTGATCAATCTATCAATGGTAATTGAACAAAACTGTCAAAGTTGACGAAAACAAGTTGTCATCGATGATGGAGACTAAACGACCGACTTCTATTGGAACTGAAATGATGGCAACAATTGGGATCAAATGGTTGACTTTTACTATGATCGGACTAATGGCAATGATGGGGATTGAATTGATGGCGACGACTTGGATTGGACGGCTAACTTCTATTGAGACTGGATTGATGGCAATGACCGGGATCATATGGTGGACTTTCACCAGGACTGGACCAATGGAGATGATCGGGACTTGACGGTCGACTTCCATCGGGACTGTATAGACGGTAATGACCGAGACTGAATGGTTGACTTCTACCGAGGTTGAACCGATGGCTATGACAAGAATCGAACGGCCACCATCCATTACCATTACCTTCAGTTTGGTCATCGTCGTTGTCAGTACAATCCAGTTTGGTGTTAAAGGAAGTCGGTCGTTTGGTTCTTGTAGCCATTGGTTCATTCTGGTCCTGATGGAAGTCGGTCGTGTGATCCTCGTCGTAGGCATTGGTTGGGTCTAGTGCTGTTGGAAGTCGGCCGTCTAATCCCCATTATCGTCCTTGGTTCAATTTTGGTGGAAGGCAGTCATTCGGTCCCCATCATCGGCCTGGTTCAAGTGGAAATTGACTATCTGATTGCCATCATCGGCATTGGTCTAGTCTCAGTGGAAGTCGCTCGTCTGATCCCCATCATCGATGTCGGTTCAGTCCTGGTGGAAGTCAGTGGTCTTGTCCTGATAATCAGTATCGGTCCGATCTCGATGGAAGTCGGCCGTGCGATCCTTGTTGTCGGTGTCGGTCCTGTCCCAGCGGAAGTCAACCTTCTGGTGCCCGTCATCACCATCGGTTTGGTCCCAATAGAAGTTGGTCATCCGATCTCCATCCTCGCCGTTGGTCTGGTCCCTGTGGATGTTAGTCGTCTGGTCCTCGTCGTTGTCGTCAATCCAATCCTAGTGAAAGTTAGATGTTCGGTCCCCCCTTGTTGCCATCGGTTCAATCTCGATGGAAGTTGGCCTTTTCAGTCTCCGTCAATGCCATTGGTCCTATCCTAGTAGAAGTTGGTTGTCCGATCCTTATTGTTGCCGTCAATTTAATCTTAGTGGAAGTCAGCCATTCAGTCCCCGTCATCATCGTCAGTTCGGTCTTGGTGGTAGTTAGCTGTCCTGTCCCTATTGTAGCTAGTGGTCTAGTCCTGATGGAAGTTGTTGTCTAGTCCTTGTCGTCGCCATCGGTCCGGTCTTAATGAAAGTCGAAAGTCCAGTCCCCATATCCCTGGTGCCATAGTCCTAGTCGGCTTTGTTTATTTGATCTCATTAAAAGTTGGCCATTTTAATCATCGAGTTTGACTAATCTTTTAATTTTTTTAAATTCAAATATAAAATATAAAATATAAAAGTTTACTTTAGATCCAAATAAAGGGTTTTAATATTGTAATTTAAAATTTTTTATATCATCTAAATAAAGAATTTAGAATATATATGAATTTCAAATGTGAGATTTTAAATATAAGATTTTAAATTTAAATTCTCAACTTAAATCAACATATCCAAACACAACTCAAGGAAAACAAAATTCTTTAGGCTTGCTGTGTTGACTATTGGTTTTAGCTCTTTTTTCTAACAGTATTTTGAGATATAAATGTAAGGTCTTTTTATATTTAGTGCTTCTTATGATTGCTTTGTAATATCCCAAGGCTCCCAATTGCTGTGCCTTAAATATTTGCAATCCAATATTCTCTCCCATATTCAAGCTTTAATTGCAGTTAGGAGATCAAGCTAGCGTTGTGTATGTTGCATGGAGTTGAAGGCTCAAGGGATGATGACTTGCTGTTGTTGATGACCAAAACACAACCTAATAATCTATATGTAATAGAGATAAGTTCTCATCACTTGTAAAAATCTTTGAAATAATTAAGCAAATATATGATAGAAATTAAATAGTACAATTGCAACAAGAGATAATTAATTAACAAGAAAAACTCCTCAATGTAAGAGAAAAAACCACATGTTTAGGCCATTGAAAATAGCTTTGTTATAATCAAAATAGGATATATATAAGGGGTTTCAGTCAAATACATAAACAATTATTGACAAACCAAAGCAAGAAGCTTGCAATAGATAATAAAAAAGCTGAAAGCACCCAAAACAGAGGTTGTATGGTGAATCGAATATCTCTTACACCTTGCAATTGATTGATGATTCTACCACTCAATATAAGATAATGGCTTTCTTTTTTCTTCCCTCTTAATTGGCTGCTCTTATAACTCACTCACTCTAACATGAACCCTCTCCACTTTAATTAGTAAGACACATTATGAGCTTGAATATACTGGGCATCTTTTTCCACATAGGAAGGGACAGCACACATCAAGCACAAGAAAAGCATATTTCCTGAAAAATTGGCTAAGAATATGTGGTTCTACCTCTTATACCAGAAAAATGCGAGGCTTCTACATGTTTCACCAAAATCTATCCTAGTTATCGCAACTTAAAGAGTACCATGTGTCACCATTTTGTCAATATAAACTCAGGGGGATATAAATTTAAAGGAATAATAAAATTTTTTAATTTTTTCAATTTGAGTCAATTTGTGATTTGACATCTCAAATTTAACTTTTCTCAATTTGATCTACCATGATTTTTTTAAATTATCATGTTAATCCTCTAATTTTTGAAATACAAGTTGACTCTCAAATTAATATCCCCTTATATTTTTGTGCTTTGTATTGCGATATCCCAATTTTTATTCTTAGGATTCAAGTAATATTAAAAAAATATATAATTTCATGATAAATGGAAATTACCATGTAATTACTTGAATAAAGAGAATTCACTCAAAATGGGTTAAATTTTGATGACTTAATTCTAAGTCAGTTTTTTTTTTTAAAAAATAAGGTTAGTTGGGATTAAATAAAAATGGTTTAAGATGTTTTCTCAACTTAACATATTATATATATTTTAATGTTATGAAAAATTTATTTAAATTAAAATATAAAAACTTAGTTTAATATTTTGAGTTTCAGGGGAGACTAAAAAAGTGAATGGAATTATATATATATATATATATATATATGAAATAAACAAATCAAGGAAATGGGTTGAAATAATGGGCCATGGGCAACACTCATCCATGGTCCATCTGGTGTCACTTACCACTTCAACTTATTACCCATTTCATTTTTCCATCCCACTTTTGATTTTCAAAAATGCAGAGAGGAGAGAACGAAGAGAACAGAGGGTGTGCGTCAGTTCGAGAACAGAGTCGCTGAGAGGTGTGATTTTTAAAGAGTAGGCTCTATTATAAGATATTTTAGATGAGCTTCGAAGCTTTTCAAGACAAATAGATTGGAGTTTTTGAATTTAATTTTTTTAAATATATTTTTTACTTTTTTTTTTGCATTTCTTTATAATGGAAGAATTGGAGTTTTCATAATTTTGAATTTGAGACGGTTCTAATAGATTGCTTTGTGCTTAAATGTATTAATGGGGTGAGATTAACTGTTTAATGCTTCTAGATTTGCTCAAATGCTTGGTTTTGAGGATTTGAGATTAGGATTTGTGACAAAGTAGATGTTTAACGTAATTAATGATGTTTTAACTGTTTAAATTTCAATTTAATGCCTGGGTTGTAATTATATAAGTTGAAATTGAGATTTAATCTATTTAAAACTTATTATTTGGACTTGAATTGGAATTTGAGAATTTTTAAAGGAACCCATAGTTGTAGAAATTGAGGATTTTGATTCTTGGAGTTAATTATTGTTTGAAACTTTGTTAATTGGTCGTGAGTAACTTAGAAATATTTGCTAGAAATTGATTGTGCGGTTGAATTACAAATTTAAGCAGTTTTTTAATTATGGATGAATTAATGTGAATTTTTGGGATTTTTTTTTTTTGTATGAGTATTTTGGACATTATTTGGCTAAGAATTATTTTGGTTAAAAACTTTAGGTAATAAGGATTTTATGGTCAAATCTTCATAATAATTGGTTTTGATTTGAGGTATCATTAAGTACTAGAGATTCTTTATCTAAAATAGGCTTTTTGACAAAAATATGACATCATAACTTTTAGGCCTTCTAGTGGTTTTTAGAAGCATTTTGGTCTCTCACATAAATTTCACCATAATATGCACATTCGCCTTAGTATTTCAGTCACTCACATAATTTTCATACGTCTACATCAATCTAGGTCACAATATGCTAAAATGACATGAACTTTAGGCAAGTGTAGCTAAAAGAATGCATGTCCTAAATTGGCAATGTAAGACACACACACGCACACACATATACATATTCATCAATTACAACCTAAAAGAATGGACACAACGATAAGTGAGAAAAGTAGAGAGAGAGCAGGCATGACATAACAATGAGCTCTACTGGTAAGTCTGATGGGAACTCAAAGGAAAGACTATTGAAGCAAGATGAAGATGTTATTGAGT